CTACAAATATGGAATTCGTTAATTTGTGCAAATCGGTTGATCAATCATGCGACGACGACGCAAATAATATTTTTTCTTATTTGTTTCTTTTTTTTTTATAATATTAAGCTTCGCGTATAATTATATATATATATTTCGATATGAAGAAGAAATCGTTAGGTAATAAAGTTCTCTCATCAATCTTCCATATTCGTTCCGATCTTTTTCCTTGATTTATTTTTCAACGTCGTCGCGTCACACCGAGAGATAGCAGTTTAGTGTTTATTATATTTGACAACGTTTGTTTATTTCCATCCAAGCGAAAACGGGAGAGAAAGAAAGACAGTTTAAATCCTTCGAAAAAAGAGGTCATACAGCTATTATTACACTTACTTCTTCTCTTCGTTTCAATCTCAATTTCTATTATCATCATACATATGTGTGCGAATACTAAATTAAAAAAAAGTTCCAATATTAATTATAAATTAATATTCTATATTATATTATAATTGATCAATTGATATAACACATACATACGTATATAATAAACAGTATTGTTAACATGTAAAACCAGATCGATTTAAAACTAAAAAAAAAATGTATTTAAAAAATAATGAAGGATATTTTATTTTTAGCAAACATCATTCGACGATTTGAAAACTAGTTTCACGAAGATCTTTTTTGATAAAATTAACGCACCGTAGATTAACTGTCACATGTGACAAGATATTACGTACGTTAAAAATATAATAATACTAGTCGTGTTATTGTCTTATGAATTCTCTCATTCGCTTGACTAAAGCTCAGACCATCGTTTATTTTCTTACTCTCATCTCTTTCTCTCTGTCTCTTTTTGTACGACCGACGTAAAGTCATTAAAGAACTTATAAGGCCTCGGACAATGGCCTGTCGTCTCCTACGAGTTCTTCTTTTTTCCCTTTTCTAGCTTGTTTGTCATCAAACCATTTTCGAGTCATAATGGACCATATTATATACTACCATAATCCTTCAAATGATACTTGAATTTTGTACAATTATATGAACCGCAAGGATTTTTGGAGATACGAATAGCCTAAGATATATAATAACTTTTTATTTTAAATATAAATTTGTCAACTCGTTAATGTTATATTTGAAATTCTCGTTGGTGGTCTCGTTTGCGTAAACGAGAAATATATTATTGATCCGTACGATTTTCTACAAAATTCTCGTCAATTCTAACAAATGAAGGAAAAAGAATATTACAGCAATATATCGGATGTTTTCGACACGAGCTTATCGTTATTTTAAAAAGCCTCACCTTTATCACTTTCTCTCACGAAAATGTCTATTAGAAAAATCCATACATGGATATCGAAGAAGTCATTAGCTTTAATTAACGTCCTATAAATTGTTTTTTAATGATATTAGTTTAAGAGTACAGTACTGTATTAAATATACATTAAAAATTAATTTAATTGATTAATCAATCAATCAAATTAAGTTAATTAATCAATGAAAATGTGTATTGTTGTTTAAAAGCACCGAGTATATGTTCGGAACACCGTCCTCCTCGAAATCTATCGTTAAACTGAGCCATTGTCCTCTATCAAAATTCTTTTATTACGTGTTGTTAATATTGCTTTCCATATAAGGAAATTCTATTTATTAGGAATATTATTCCCGTTATACATATATGCAACGTTCGGAAAGTCATATAAACAACATTGTAATAAAAGAAATCTAATAAATAACAACCGTGCCAGTGTGAAGGTGGATTTCGAAGAGAACGATACTCCTGACATATATTTCGTGCTTTTAAACATCAATACACATTCCCATCGATAACTAACAATTATTTTAACATTTTCATACACTCTACTTATATTACAGCATAATTTAACCATTGAAGTCATCGTTGCGCATGTGTGATAAGATAATTACATTAGAATGCAAAAAATACTAAAATTAGAACGTTATAATGTTAAATACTCTTTATTAGGAATATTATTATCGTTGTACACATGCGCAATGTTCGGAAGGTCATATAAACTACATTGAATAAAGGTATTTTTATAGAGGACAATGACTCAGTCTAAAGGTGAATTTCGAGGAGGACGGTACTCCGATCATATATTCCGTGCTTTTAAATAACAATATACATTCCTTTCGATTAATTAACAATCAATTAAGGTAAATTGAATATAGTACTGTATATATATATATATAAAGCAGCAATGAATGAACGTTGTATTTTTGGGAACAAAGGCATTTGAGATAAATTAAATCTTTTAAAAAAAAAAAAATACAAATTGTTTTAAAATGTAATTTGATAGGAATATGTAATCTATGTCGATACTTTTGTTGGCTACTGTATACTTATATAGAAGAAAAGGTATAAGGATTTAATGATACTTATTTGCTGGTTCTACGACGACGACGATGACGACGAGAAATGAGCCCTCAGGGAGTCGGAGATAAAAGGAAGAAAATCTCCGAAAGGTTTTCTATAGACGTTAACGGATAAGAGAAAGAGAAAGAAAGAAAGAGAGAGAGAGAGAGAGAGAGAGAGAGAGAGAGAGAGATGCTGAAGGTTTCACCTTATACATCGTTTCTTCTTTTTATTAGTGGAACACCTTCTAACGATGTATACGCAGAAACACACACGCCTCGCAGTGATGGTCACGCTCCAAAACTGTTACTTATTAACGTTACTTTAGTCTTCTTATTATCGTCGACAGCACATATTACAAGCGTTAAAAAAGCCATTCTTTTTTTTCTCTTTATCTCTTTTTCTCATTGCAAATTATGATTTCAAAGATCTTTCTTTAATTCGTCTACTTTTTGTCGATCTTATCAATTTCTTCTTTTTTTGTTTCCTGATCTTTAACTAATGCCAATTAACGTTTAGATGGATCGTTTTCTTCATTTGCTATCTCTTTCTCTCTCTCACTCATTTTCTACAATGATTTATTTTATTTATTTGGCGAAATAACGCAGAGTGAAGATATATACTTGGATTGCATCGTTATTTGCATAATAACGAAAGTTCTTCAACGCTTCGTTTACTTCGTTTACGATATGGTCCAATTCGTTCGTAACATTTAACGAAACTTTTTCGTTTCGTTTCTTTTCGTTTTTTATTTTATATATATGGCTTTTTAGTATTGACAAATGTGTGCATTTCCGATGTGATTGTGAAAATATTCGAGTGCAAATAAGATTTTATTTGACGCTAACATATTACGCGTTTGCTATAGCTCGATGACGTGCCCTAAATCCTGCGGCAAAGTAACTCGAGGAAAGAAAGAAAGAAAGAAAGAAAAAAAAAAAGCTGATCGAAAGCTCGTTATTACGTGACACGATAATCAAAGAAAATCATCCAGGCCAACTCTTGGTTCTTTCGTTCGATCGATTTACTTACCTCCTGGCTAAGGATGTAGTCGATTAATAATTTGTTCCTTTATCTTTCTTTTTTTCTTGTTCCTACTTTGCTGTTCACCGGGCGACATTGTCGGTTCCTTTTGCGGAAACATGCTTGCTGAAAGAGAGAAGGAGATTCATTCTCGCATTGGCCACCCATGCTCGTACGCGTGCCGCCTGTAAAAATCATAATAGTATAAACAGCGGATACCAGTTTGCATTGAATCCCACGTTAAAGATTGCTTCACATGATTCGCTCACGATGACGATAGGCTAATATAAGTAAAAACAATCAATGAGAGAAATAGAAACGAAGATTAATAATATATTGATATTTGCACAAATTTGTAAATAATATTAACAAATTGGAAATTCTCTTTGGAAAAATAAGATGGAAATGTGATCGGAATAAAGATACAAATGAAAAGACAATTATGAAATGTAATTGCGTTAGGAGTGCTTCTGGGTGAACGCCTACGTGCTCGTAAAACTCGAACCGATGATGGTCGAACTTCTTCTTCTTCTTCTTCTTCTTCTTCTTCTTCTTCTTCTTACGTTGTTCTATTCTCCTTCGATTATTATTATTTCTCCCCCGAGCCGTGTCGCTCGCGTTCATTGAAGCTGCACGGGCGAACGCGCAATGCAACTCTCGTCGTAGCTCTTCCTCCGATTAAACTCGATCGTTAGATGGTCGTTGACTTTATGTCACGTATACGTGCGTCTACGATATTCGCTGCAAATTACCGGATACATCAGTGTTACTTCTTTTTAAACACATACATTCATTTATTTATTTATTTATTCAACTATTTATGGCGAATCACTGGACTCGGTTTATTTGTTTCAAGTCAACCTTATAGATTATTATTTTGGTTAATATTATGTTTTTTTTCAATGGAGAAGCAAGTTCTATGAACCGCTCGTTATCACTGCCATCGCAACCCCCTTTTCTCTTTTATATCGTTTCTTGCAACCCCTTTTTCCCCTCAGCGTGCATCGTTTATCTAACAAAAAGGGTGAAGTATTTTTAAGATGCGTACGTTTTCTACGTAGGAGTAGTAACATCATTTTCTTATGTATATTCATCGTGCCTTGTTTTTTTTTTTCAATTCTTTTCTTTTTTTTTTTTTACCTTCGATCATCTAAATGGACCATGGCACCGGTCTTCTTAGCATCCACCTCTGCGATTTGCACCGAAGAAAAATATGAGAATTATGTCACCTGTTTACGACAGTATCACATTCTAGCATTGCAAAGAAGAATGACATATTCATGGATCGATGTCGAAGGATACTCTGCCTACTCGATTTCTCCTTTGCGTGATGTCTACGCATAGATTTTTTTTAATCTTTTTTTTAAATGCATATATACAAATGGAACTTTATCGGTTGTCGTCGTCGTCGTCGTCGTCGTCGTTGTTATTTCATTTTTATATAATTGACAAATATGGAGTTACAGATATCAGTAATACAATATTATTGATCGTTATTTAACAGATCAATACGTTTATATAAATATCCTATAAAGTTTCTCTATCAATAAAAATCAATCGATGCATCATTTGTAGACCAAAAAAAAAAAAAAATAACAAGAAAATATAAATGTGTCAGGTTGGAGGAAGGAAAGAAAAAGGAGTAGTAGTACCATACGTATATTGCGTTTTCGTATTCGTACTCACGTTCGATTTCTTATTTACTCGTTCCTTTCTTCTTCGTTAGCTTCTTCTTTATTCGTTCGTTCATTCGTCCATGACGTGCTGCTGGACAAAGGCAGTGGAAATCGAGCGTTACCGGTTAACCTTCCTCCCATCTCCGTTACCTGAGATATAATCCAAAAATAATAAGATCAAAAAGTATTCATAATTGCTTCAAATTATGCAGAAGGATTTTCAATAAAATCTGAGATTGAGTATTCAATTTTAAAATTGGATACATTTAGAAATAAAATCAAAGAACATCGGCATTTTAACCAGTTTAATTTTGTTTTTTTGTAGAGACGTGTACTCGGCAGGTACGAGGGTTCGAAAAGATCGTCGATTGGATAAAGCCGGAAAGTGAGTCAAAGCAACGTCGCCATTTTCATCTGTAAAGAAAAATAATTGTAAAACGTTGGATCGGCCTGGAAGATTGAAAGATAATTAATTATTAAAGGTGCATTCGATTTAGTTTACCGTATAATTCTGATTAGAAGTAAGAAAAAAGAAAACAGATAAAGAGGGAAAGCGAAAGGAAGAGTAATTACAGGATGTCTTTCGGTACTAATCGATTTCCTTCGAGCCAACACACGCGTTATCGCAGCAGTTGGGGACCGTCTTCCGTTTCCGTGTTCGATCGTGCAGACGTACCTAGGCCATCTCCCGAAGAAGAGGAATACGCCGAATTTTATCACGAACGATTGCATTCGGCTCAGAGCAGGCAACTGATTCCGCTTCAGGAAGATTTAGCCGACTGGATCAACAAGACTATAAGTAAGCTATTATTTATTTGATTATTTTTTTTAATACTACCTCTTTCCGAGAACAAATTTCGGTGAGCGACTCTCGTGAGAACGCACAAGTGGCTTCTTATTGTTAAACCGACCTCGGGAGGATGCAAAAATCGCGGGAAGAATGAGGTCGGTCTGAGAAAATTGTAAACGCGAGTCAGCTGTCGGAAATATATGTATGCATTTATGTATTATTAGTATATATGTGGTTATGCATTCAATGTCGATCGTACGTTTTTTCATCTTCCTTTCTTTCAATAGCTTCATTCCAATAATATTTCCAATTAGAAAATTCGACAAAAATCAAGAAAGAGTAAATAATATAATTATACGCGTTTTATACGTGTTTCAACTATATACTCTGTGAGAGTATTGTGTTCTATTTGACGCATAATTTGCATGCACCTATTTTTCTCGACAAAAAAGAAGGTGAAAGGAAGGAAAGGAGTAAATGGTTTGCTTGATGGTTACTAATTACAAGACAATTTGCATGTGCCCTCTCTTTTTTAACCAGTTTCTCGACGTCTTTTTATATAACCGTGGCTCGAGTTCAAGTCATTCGTATCATTGTTTTAAATCCATACACACGAGTAGTATACCGAATTAAATTCACCCCAAGGGGAAAACGGATGAGGATAGAGAACCTCTGGAAAGCTTGGCATGGGGATGAACGTTCTGTTCTCTCGGCATTTTGCTCACTCATTGCCACACGCCACCACGGTCGTGAGAAAAACGATCTTCAATCTCCAGTGGTTCTCAAACGGTCCAGTTACGGTTCAGCATCCATTTCACCAAACTAGCGAGAAGGGTTGCTATATTTAAAGGACTTTAAACGAATATTTTCTTATTGAATTAATAATAATAATAATAATATTGTATTTAAAATGGAAAATGCAAATGAAAAATATTAACAAATATTTATTTATATGAAATAAGATATCATTAGAAAGGATATTGTTAGTTTTTCTTTCTTTCTTTTACCCACGCTTGCAATTCGTCTGACTCAACCGGATGTCGATCGGGTGCCTCTCCCTTCTTCACGGTTACCTAAAGCCAGCCGCATTACGCATAAACGAGCGTGTATACACGCCTTCCACCTTTCCACGCTTGCGCATCCTCTGACTAACATAAGAAAAGAAGGAGAAAAAATAAGAAGAGGAGGAGGAGGACCTTTCGTCCTCCTCCTTATGTTCGTCTAGCTAACATCATCTTTTTGTCCCTTTTTGTTTGGCAAAAAGACACGTCAGCGTATCGATGATACTCTTAACTGCTCCCTTATGAATCAATGACAAGCAAGTAGAGAGTGTTGTTGGCACCGATCAAGAAATTCCGCTGGCGCATCAGAAATTCATAGGATTCCGATCGATTTTCTCTACTTGTTGTGTGTACGTGTAAAATATATCTGCACTAGACGACGACGACGACGACAACGACGACGACGACGACGACTGTAATCGTTTGGCTAGGTTCCTTTTTTAAATGATACATATATGACATGTTTCAGACGTCGATTATATAACGGGTGAAAATTTTTTCGACACATTGGATAATGGCGTGGTTGTTTGCCGATTGGCTAAAGTTATACAGGAAAAAGCTAGATCGGCTATCGATGCTGGAAAAGCGAAAGGGGTGAATATCTACTATTTATTTTTTATCTATATCTGTTATTCTTTCTAAATCAGTGGTTAATAGAGATGACGATTAAATGTTGATAGCCAATACCGGTGATTAGAGGACGTTGTTGGGAAAATGCAGCGAGACGTAGCTTCTTCTCGCGCGACAACATGGAAAATTTTATACAATTTTGTCGTCGATTAGGGGTACATGAAAATCTTCTATTCGAAAGCGACGATCTTGGTGAGTAAACTATAATAAAAGTAATACATATGTAGTATATGAATTATATTATATAATTTTCATATTATAGTCTTACATGGTCAACCTCGGAACGTAGTACTCTGTTTATTGGAAGTTGCAAGATTAGCAGCAAGGTATTCCTTGGAACCACCTGGTCTCGTCCAATTGGAAAGAGAAATCGCTGAACAAGAACAAGATTTGCGTTGTCTTTCGGACAGCGGAATTTCTCATAGCAGTCTCGTTTCCTGGCAATTCGCTCCTTCGAAAATGTCAACGCTTCGACCGCAAACGGAAAAGATTAAACACAGTAGGTGAGTTAACGAAATATTATTTTCTATGAATTGTCGGCATTTATATATATATATAGAGAGAGAGAGATATATAAAGTATAACATATTTATTGTAATGTTCAATTTATTAAGTTCAACGTCTGAAGTGGCAGAGATGACGACTGGTTGGTTGGATCCGACAACGGGTAATAATCACGAGCCTGAAATGAGACGATCGATTAGCGATAATGGGCCAGCCGGTAGCGATGGAATAAATAGCGATACCACGGAAGATGATTGGTCACGTGGTAGCGTTGATGATCCCGATGACGTTACTTCGCCATTACCCTCGTTAACTAGTTCACCATCTCCAACCCAATCACCTGCAGATCCTCCGGAATATGCCGGACCTATCACTGAACTCGATCGCAAGGTATATTATATGATATTAGATCTAATGAACACGTTAACGAGTTTTCTTTTTTTGTAATTATAATTATCTTACTACTATACGTTGTTATATTTGTTTAGGTGCGACGAGTTACGGAAGCTGTACAGAGGCTTTGCCAATGTCCGTCTGGTAAATGTTCCAGATTGAAAGTACGAAAAGTTGGAGAAGGCCGATATCACATAGCAGGACGCAACGTATTCATTAGGGTATATAAAATTATTTGATCCATCACTAGTAATTTGGTACTACTACTAATAATAATAATAATAAGAAGAAGAAGAAGAAGAAAACGTAGCTGTATAAATAACATTGTATGTTCTCAGCTTTTGAAAGGAAGACACATGATGGTGAGAGTGGGCGGTGGGTGGGACACCTTGGAGCACTTCTTGGCGAGGCATGACCCCTGTCAGGTGAGGGCTCTCAACCAAGATGGTACACCACCCCCTACCCCATCGTCTATTTCAAAAGGCAGAAAGCACCGCGACAATGACTTCCTACGCATTCACGCCAAGTATCGTGGTATTTCCTTGGAACCCGTCCCCATATCTGTCTCCGGGCGCTAGCCTAAAAGCCAACATCAACGGCAACGCCAGCAGCAAGCACGGCATCATCGCTCGCACTCCTCGACCCTGCATATCACGTAATAAGGGCTACACAGTACTAATTTAAAGTAGTCAACTATGCCATCTTTCAAAGCTACTACACTTTACTTGTCAGTTTTCTTTCTCTCTCTCTCTCTCTCTTTTCCTTTCTTTAGTTTTTTGTTGTTTACACAAACCCACGCGTAAGTACACCCTTCTGTGCATTTCTATTTCACTTCACTTCACTTTCACGTCAAATTGCAAAAGTGTGTTAAATTATGCGTGCTGTGTACTAATTCATTGATTACGATTTGATTGATAACGCGGGAAGAAAAAAAAAACAAGTGATGTAATAGTTCGTCGCCTCGTATCGCTTTTGTTTTACGGGAAAAAAAAAACGTTAGTATTTTGTATACTACTAACGTATTTCATTTTCTAGGAATTTACATTTTCACTAGAAAATGCAATGGTTGTCCATGAAATCCATACGTTCCTACTATATCTCTTTGTAGGTGTTGTTAGTTCGACGCCTGAATTTATCATAACATGGAGAACATTATTAATATGTTAAGGTATGTTTAAACAGTATTTAGTTTAAAGTCAAGATATTTATATAAATATGATTAGATGTTATAAGGAAAACATCGTTTCTGTAATCAGTTGTCCGAGCTTATGAAATCGGCCTAGAAAAGTATGTATGTGAGTTATCGTTGGAAATCGAGCCAGTTTAGAAAATAAAAAAAAGACATACGTATTTCTTAACGATATTAACAATGAATGAATTTCTTTTTTAACTATTCAAAAACACAGTAGGTCTTTTTGAATCCAACGTTGAAACTTATCTTTCTTTCGTTCATTTCACGTTTGTAAACTTTTTCAGCTTTTAGAATAGGGTTTCGTGAACTTGAAAGAAGATTAATAAAAAAAAGAAAAAATTAACAAAAAAAAGAAAAAAAAAAGAAAAAAGTGAAAAAAGTAAGATGAATAAAAAAAAATATATAATAAATAATCGAAATGAACTTGCAATGAATATTTTCGATAAATAGTAATTTGGAAATATTTTTTAGTAATAAGGGTTCGATTAAGCAAATTTATTATCACACATTCCAAAGATTATAATATTCTAGCTCTCGCGTATTCTCCGACAAGTTTTAATTGTACGCACGATATATGCCTACTGTATTCTACTTTTCGATATATTTATATTTATATCCATATAAATATAGTATATAAATATAAATATTCATAAGTGTATCAGATGTGCCCAATATCGTAGGGTGAAACACGTATCATGAATATTCAATTTTATATTATGCATCCTGTAAAAAATAACGGAAAGAGAAAAAGAGAAGAAGAAAGAAAGAAAAATAAAATTACAATTACAAAATTTGTACAAACAGACGTCGGAGAATCTCTTTTGATCTTACGAGATTGTCATCAACGATAAATAACGCGTGTTCAATACGTGACATCAATATCAAGATTTGTCGATTCTTTTTCTTCCTTTTTTTTTTCTCTTCTTTTTCTTCTTCTCTGGTTTGAATTAATCGCGTGCATTTTGAAAAAATTCTTTGAAAGGAATTAAAGAAAATATATTTTAATCAAAATTTGATGATGCAACATTAAATAATTAGTCATAGATTTTGAAAATAAATATCGAAATGACCAAATCGTTCTATCCAGCCGAGACATATTTAAAGTTATTATAAATAATAATAATAATAATAATAATATTAATGAATAAAAAAAGAGAAATATTTTACGAATTATCGATTAAACATTTTCTAGGATGCATAATCAATAAACCGATGAAAACACAAAGCGCCAATGAAAACTCTCTGTGATTCTCGCAAGATAATCCGTTTGTAAGTTGGAAGTGTGTGCGATCATGATTATTCTTACTTAAAGAGAATAATATGAAAAAAGTGCAATTAGTCTCAGGTAGAATATTGTGCGTATAAAAAAAAAAAAAAAGAAAGAAAGAGAAATAAGATAACAACAAATTTTGCCTTCTCAATTATAATAAATAGGAAAAGAATAAAAATTCTAATCACTGCGAGTCGCCTCTATAATCGGATAAAACGCATTAAATAACTAAATGATTAATTAATTAAATAAATAAATAAATAAGATTTGATAATTCTTCATACGCAATATATACATTTTGATACGTCCATATATTCTTGAAAAATTGTCAAACGTTGTAATCGTAAAAAGGAGTGGAAAAAAAAGGAGAAACCATTTTTGAAATACGTATCACATTCTATACACGAGCAATACATTTGTACGATAAAGAAGCATTTAAATTAAAGCGATACGGTATAATAACTATTTATATATAATATTATTGGTCGTTGCTTCAGTCAAAACAAATTGAGATAATTCTTATAGTGCGCTTTTATACTTCCTGACGAGCACTAGACGCATGCAAATCTCACCATGTGAAACAGGGTCGGATAATATTTTGTTCTTCTTCTCATGATTCTTTACCAAAAGTGTTAACGCATTGTTGACTGGTTATTGTATTTAATTAACACCATAAAATGCAATTAAAAATATAATAACGAGTGGCACGATTACATCAACCGCTTGTTGCATGTGCAAACATGAGTATACTTGTGATCAGTCAATAATGTGTTAGCGATCATTTTTATTTACGTTGATCGTAAAACTGTAACTTTTTATTTATCCGAACCAATAATAGTATGGAAATTATTAGGAAACTTGAATATTTTCATACAATCATTAGGATTCTACGAATTCATACATGTTATAAACCGATCCTGGAAAGTATTGCACATTAGCACTCGTGTGACTTATAACAAGTAATTTTTCATACACGATTATTATAATGTCATCATCAATCATGCAAAATGCTTCAACTGCCATTGGATATATGTTTTGTACTTTTATATATAAAGAAAAAAAAAAAAGATAAGAAAAATGTAATTGTAAGGTACGGAATATAATTAACACACATTATCTATACATATATATGTATCATCAACACGCCACAGATATGTCTCTAATTCAATTTACAGAAATACAAGGGCATGGTGTGCAAAGGGATACCAAAGCAAAGAAATATCCGACGAGTATTGTCGGCACGTTGATAGGCTAATTTAAAAGAAAAAATTAAAAAACAATATCGAATTTAATGATTACAAAATAGCTATTTTATTTCTTATTTTCAATTGCGTCCATTTTGTGATTTACATTTATAAACCACAGGGATTATAGAAAGTGATCTTTGATTATAACTGGAAGCATACCTTCATGATTTTGGTTTAACAAGATTCACTAATTAGAATCTAATCGAATGTATTTGTTATTTTAACTATTAACATTCCTCCCTTGTCGCACAAGAAGAAGAAGAAGAAGAAGAAGAAGAAGAAATAATTTTGCCATATTGTATTATCTGATGTGCTTAAGTCTTAAAATAGTTTAATTAAGTTGTATTTGTACCTGTTCTTTCGTCGTAATTTAGTTGTTACGCGTAACTACAAAATTTCTTTCATTAGATTGGACGCCGTATTGTATTTAAATGGTTTCACGAGATTTCATTCGCGTTTTTTGCGCTGACATTTCCGAGGATTAGTAATAATATATAAATTTGAAAGAAATGCTTCGTTTTCTAGTATACTATTGTAATGGTAGTATGTATGTTAAAAAAGATTTAAACAAAAAAAAAAAGGAATTATTTATTTTTAGACTACTAAAAATGAATTTCAATTTTTTGATAGGAATACCAAATGGATATGTCAAAATGTTCTAATACTAAAAATCCTACATATCGCCTAGTTTTATTTGAGATTAGTCTTTACACACATGTATAGCAACGTAATATAATAATCCTCATGTATTTAGTATAAATAAGTTGTTCAGTTGTTATATTATGTTGGTTAATAAAAATTTAGCTGCAAAATTATCACAAATGTATTTGAATATAAATATTTGATTTAATGATATTTTATGATTTTTGAAAACGATCGATTAAAAGTTTAGTATACTACATTACCGACAGAAACGACAAGAAACAATTGCCAATTGAGCGTATCAGACAATAGCGCGCTCTAGAAGTACCGTCGATAATTACTTATCCTCTCTGTACAGTTCTCTACGAGAAGACGCGGATGGCAGTTCGGTGGAGAAAATATTCGCGAGAAAATTGCAAATGGAGCATGAACGATCTTTACTCTTATCTCGAATTACACCACATTTTGTTTATTATCGAACATTACTAATTAACAAACGATCTTACAAAGGGATATGTATTCTGAGTAAAAAATATCTATCGCTGGCTAATTCTTGTCGATTAATATATTTCAAGATGGCGACGACTTAAATGAAAGAGGCATTAATTATAAAACTGTAGACACAGTCGATATATTCTTAATATCATTAAAAGAGAGTCTGCCTGTTGTTTTTCCGATGATACGGACGCAACCACTTTGCAAACGAAGTGAAAGGCGAAGGTGAAAGGCGAAGGAAGGGAGAGAGAGAGAGAGAGAGAGAGAGAGAGAGAGAAAGGGGGCGGGAGAAAAAGAGAGAGATAGATAGATAAAAGATAGGGCATAAAGGTTGAGAATGACCAAGGCAAATGACTTTCTTTGTTGAAAAAAAAGAAACGGAGACACAATATAGGAGCCATATAAGAGGATCGAGAGACAGAAAGTGGGAAAGAGAGAAAAGATGTGCCGGCTGGGCGGCGGTTGATGCGCGCGCATCCAGTTAAAAGATAGCGGTATCGGCGCGCGAGCGTGTTTGTGTTTGTGTTTGTATCGAGTCGTGTTGAGTCGTGCCGTGTCGTCGTCGTCGTGTCGTGTCGTGTCGTGCCGAGCCGTGCCGAGCCGTGTCATAAGAGCGGGCTGAACGGTGTCGCGTGGCTCAGACCAACTTGGACCGTCTTTTCAAGTGGGACTTAGTGTTTATTCACGCGTTAAACTGCCAGCTGGAGAAAGAGTTGACCTATCTAGAATCGGGAATCAAAGGATTACCGCCTACCTTAACGTATCGTAACTTGTCCAGTGTTTAACCGGGCCACGTTTTCACTGGCATCGAATTCAAATTGAAATATCAACTACGACAACATGTGCGGTGAGTAACAGTATTTTACAATTATTTTATATTTTTGAACAAAACGGTGTTTATGGAAATAGGCCAATCTATCTCTTGTTTCACTTCTGAAATCAGTTGAATAAACTACTGGCGAAAAACGTGGGAGAGATAGTCGATGACAGGCGTCGCGTAGGCGGTAAAAGCTTCATTTTTGTTTGACAAATTAAATACGCGTATTACGCGCGATGGTGCTTCACCGATCGCCGTGATTGCTGAAAGCCTTAATGGAACTTTCTTTTTTTTCAATCTACGATTTTTATCACTTTTACTCTCTCTCTCTCTTTCTCTCTTTATCTTTTCATTATGGTAATAGGAAAAAACCTGTTAGTTTCCTTTTTTTTTAAATCGGAAGATATGAGAGAACTAAAGTAATGAATGTCGACAAAATAATTACTAATTAATTCCTAATTTAAATAACGTTATTTAATTCATTTGAAATTTAATTTTAGAAAGTGTACGTTAATCGTTTGTCTATTAGTTTGTTTCGATTTATATTCGATATATATATACATTATACTTCAAAGTAAAAGTAAATGTTATTATAAGTAATTATAAAAAATGTCAATTTAAAAGTTCTCTTATAATCTTCAATTGAATCGTCCTTGTACCTGTCCAACTACGTTCTCAAGAAATATATATGTCTTTATCAATATAACATTTTTTCTGTCTCCCGCGCGTAAGAACTCGATAATACAGAACTCGAAGATAAAGCGATCGATCTTTCTACGATCGATTGCAATTTTGACACTTAGGAAAATTACAATAGGTTAGTTATAAATAGAACAAAAATCATTTATGGAACATTATCGATGGGGATTTGTTATCAAATAGTTTTCTCTAATGAACTTTAATTGAATGTTTTTATTCTTCGTTTGAAAGATATCGAGTTGCATTCCAAGAATTTTTTTCTAATCGAATCGCATCGATCAAAATACGCACACATATACAAATTCGATTAACAAATACAAATCGATCTAATATTTGTTATATCGATAGCGAGGTAATAATAATATTTGTAAATTTTACAAATATTCGCCCGTTTCGGTAGAGTTTTTCGTCAGGCCCAAAATTCGACTGTCGGCGCGCCTACGTAACGTAAAGAAGCGATAAGTAGAAATATCAACAATGCGACCCGAATATTATATTTTATTTACCGAAAATAATAAAATATCAAACTAATATTTATTTATCGAAAATGATAAAATATCAAACTATCTTTTATTTACCGAAAATAATTTTCTTTCCAAATGGAAAATGTGATAAGTTTTTCCAATAAAAAATACTATAATTTCAAGAAGAAGAGCGTCACCGTATACGGTGACGGGGCCCCCGGGGAAGCATGTCCGTCTCCGGTATACGGTGCCATGGCGACGAATGCGTTAAGTATAGAAAATAATTTGTAAACTTTAAGTTTGAGATGTACTGTCGAAAAATATTTGTTTAATTTATTCAAGTCGATACACACACAAAAAATGAAGAAAAGAATGTTTAACAGTCAAACGCGCATATATATATATAGATATATTTAGAGTTTAGATAAGAATCAGCATCGTTCGTAAAGATAGTAAAAATATTTCTTTTCAAAAATATCTCGAGTTGATTAAATATCCTTCGGATAAGAATTATCTACTTCTTTCTTTTTTTCATTTTTTTAAATTGTTCTATTTCAATGTACGTTTTGAAAAAAAAAAAAGGTAAAGAAATTTGCGGATGTTGGCTATTGAACAATATCCACGTCATTGATTAATTGTTGACGTGTACTTCATAAATTATTGTCCATTATCGTCCGTGAACGATTAGTCGACGAATTAACTAAGAATTATGAACGATATTATATGCATATGCACACTGTATACATTTATACGTTGATCTATTTTTAACGTTAAACGTACTGTACAATATATACAATTAATTTTAATTATGTTTTTTCAAGAATAATTGTTCTCTAAAATTGTTAATATACGAGAAAGTTTCGTCGACATTTCTTTTTAATCATCATCATCATGAAACTCCAAATACTTTCTTTAATATTCCATCAAATTTTCTCTTTCTTCCAAGAGAGAGAAAGATAGAACTTGAAAGTAATATCACGATATTACGAAATTACGAAATTAACTTACGTAAGATTTATAGTTGTTAGCATTTATTAAGATGTTCCCAATCGTTTCTACTATAAGCGAAAGTATTTTCATAGTATCCGACATTCTTCGAAAAAATATCAAATCGTAATGTAAGAAAAAAACAAATCGTTTGATACTTTGGTAATATTTGCATTTCGTTATCAATGAAGATAGAAAACTTAATCAGATGGAATATTGAAAAAGTTAAATACATTTACTTATCATTTTGTTCCTTTTATTTTCAATTTTTGTGCTCTTTAAAGATGAAAATTTTTTTTTCGTTAGATTCATTCCTGGTAATGGCTGATTAAGCCTAATGACTAATCGATATCAGTCAATCCAATATTTCATGACTAATTCATTAACGTAATCTTTAAAGCTGCAATTTAAAAATACTTAACTTTCTATCATGGATTTCCAAAATCTTGGGGTTTTTCCAATGAGACACATATTGCCAAACCTATTCTCGGTTAAAGTCAATAGGGCTGGATTATGGGTCGATTATGGGTCGATTATGGGTCGATTATGGGTGGATTATTCTTCCCACGAGAAAAGTACAACTTGTTGCATTACTTTTCTTTTTATACTTTATACATTACAATTTAAAATTTTCAATGAAAAATAAAATAAAGTAATCAAGAGAAATTGCTTGAAATAAACTAAATGAACTTTTAATGAAATAATGAAATTATTAGTGATAAAAAGAAAGAAGAGAGAGTACAAAAAAAGAAATGTAATTTGTATTTAATTCGTGTGTTATGAAATTGGTAAGTGATAGGTTAACGAAATCAATGACCGACGAAGCTCGTGACCTTTTCTTTTAATCAAGAAATCGATGTAAGTGCGAATAAATGCATCTATACAGTTATACAAAAATGATACCTAAGTGAACTAACTTTCTTAGCAGAAAATTTCATCATACACGTTTCTTTATGTTTGAAATAAGAAATACGACGATAGTATGTCGATAAGATTACTTATTAATACTTTAATTCACGGATCTCCTGGGTTTAACTCTTATAAATATATAAATAAGAGGTGTGTGTTCTATTTGTAAGAATAGATTTCATTGACATTTCATTGATATTTATGTCTGTTGCATTTTACGTTTTTTTTTCTCTTTGTAAATGTTCTTTCTATCAAGGATATTTGATATTTTCTTGTTGTTCAAATTAAAATAGAATACAAATTTTATTGTTTTATTTTTTTATTGTTCGTATCAGGTTTTTCCATTTGAAAAAAAGTTGATCAAAGTTGATCCCGAAAAATGTCAACGATTTAGCCAAACAACAATTTGCTTTTGGAATTCCCGGTCGTTCGTTCGGTTGGTCAGTCACGAGGTAAAAGAAAGAAATAATGCATAAATATAAGAATTCCAAGTGGTTTCCAGTCGTTTGCAAGATACATGGGACACACACCAGCCTCGACAACGAAGTTTTGCTTGTGTTGTTCGTTCGTTGGGTGTATAATCCAAATGTCACGGTAGCAAGCTCCTTCGGTTTCGGCTATGCGCGACCAAACTTTCACTCGATCGTGTTCTATAGCTGTATCTCCAACGTCAACGACTAGTTTCAGATCCTATACAGGATTATTCACTTTGCAAAAGGTGTATTAAAGGTTAATACGCTAACTTATTTTTTCTTTTATGCTAATTTTGGAACAATGATTTTTTCATCATTTATAATACCCTTTTTGTCTTTGGCGACCATTGAAAGTATTTTATGTTAGTAGGTCGGAAGGTCAAGTTCGTCTTTGGGTTCGTCGCGCCGAAATACTTCTTTCAGGTTATTCAACCCTGAACCTAGCAAACGAGCATATATCCTTTGAATCCTTGCAAAATTTGATTTCCTCAAGCCTCCTCCGACAAGTTCAATTCATTTTTCTAACGATTGTATCTATTCGACGAGACATGTATGATGTATACTTTTATCTAGTTTCATAAAACCTTACTCGTATTTATCTTTCACTTATTAGAAATAAAAGTCATATCCGGGAAATTGCTATGATTAATTCTAGTGTACCTAAGCTGCCGCGAGTATTAGCGATCACAACAATAATGATAATAATTATTATTTCATATTAGAAGATTTGTTCGTTGACGATCGATACGACTGGATGATAATGTTATTATTGATAAGACATATATCGTTCTTCGCTATAGGGGAGAAGAAAATTCTTTTTCTTCTATCGCCTTACTCGAGTGTACGATTACAAAAGCTTTTCAATCGTTAGCGATTGACACGATTGTTAACCATTATTATCACCTTTCCCAACGGAATTGATTAGATCTGGTTAGACAAGACACGCGGAAGGAAGAGTATACATATACATTCCATTTGATTACAAATATCATTTAAATTTAACGATATAATTATATTTTTTTTATAATCTTTTACTACCGTCATGACTAGCGGGGGTAAGTTTTAACATTTGTGTTTTATTTTTATTTATTTTTTTTTTTCTTTACAAAAGAAAAACAAAATTCTATTTCTTAGGATTTAACCCTTTCAATACGGCGAAAAATCAGTCCGAGTGCGTCCCATTACAAAGATCAGTTCATTTCTCTTTCCAACTTTTATGTTGGAAACTTTATCCACTTTGTGTTTAGTGATTTCACAATTGAGTTTTCAATTGATTAACAAATTTTCCCGATTGGGACAGCATATGTTCTAGCCGGTGCGAAAGGGTTAAAATAATTTTCATTGAATGCATTTATAAATAATTGATTTATCATAAAGAATGAAACATGGTTCTTTTTGCGTGTTGTGTATAGTTTCGGCTAACATAAAATCTCCTTCGAATCCTCGAGCTTTCCCTTTCACTAACGCACCCAAACGTGTCTTTGTTAGAGGTGTTTTACCTTACACTCGTACACATGTATACATGGCATATGCATGTATACTTGTTTTAATGCTCTCTCATGGGCATCGACTTTTTCACACTTTGAAAAAAGTGTCTGCTATTTCACGTTGGCCTTTGTTCTCACACTTTTAAAGTATTTACAATCGATGAAATCAAATACAAATAACAAGAAGAAAAGGAGTAACCGTTTATCATTCCAGAATGTTGTCCAAGACTCCCCCCCCCTCCTCGCTTCGATAAATCGAATTCCACTTTCTCATATCTACTATCGAAAAGATCTTCCTAATCGTGACAGATTTCCGATACGAAAAATACTTTTATTTATATGGAATTTGATGATATTTTTCAAAGAATTTCTTACAAAATAAAGCTTTCCAATTAAAAATTGAATTTGAAGTCCTTTAATAAAAGTATATTGTAAAAGTTGGCGCAGCAACGAGTGGTACGGGTCGATATTTTCCTACTCTTTACATTACCCTCGATGTACATATGCATACACTTATACGTACAAATATACAGGGTGTCCCATTTAAATATTTTCTTTCCCTTTTTAACGGTAGGAACACTTCATTGTATGCCGCTAATTATGAATTTTTCTAATTTACAGGAATATTTGCTTATCTCAACTATCTCACGCCGAAGAGTAGAAAGGAGATTTTGGAACTTCTCGTAGGTGGATTGAAAAGATTGGAATATCGTGGATATGATTCTGCAGGTAATTCATTATTTATTCTCTCTCTTTCTCTTATAATGTAACTTTTTAAATCATATATATACACAAATGAAATATATTTCATGTATACAGTGAATTACAGTAGTATTCGCAACCGCAGCATTGCACACATACGATTATATTGAAACATCTTGTAAATATAAACTACAGTCATATAAGTAATCTAAAATTTCATTTAGTGGTTTAAGCAATAACATTTATAACATGTAACACGATCTATCGAATGCAACGCGTCCTTGTATTTCCTGTTCATTTCACTTATTTAGTAATAATAAGTAGGACCAACGTTGGTTTACCTTCTACAGATACTCGTATCGTGGCTTTAGTATTTTTCTTATCAAATTTCTCCTTCAATTCGCGAGTATTAAAGATCATTCAACTTTTTATCATCATCGGATATGAAATTTATTGTAATACGTACAAAATGATAATAAAATGATTTTCAGGCGTTGCCCTTGATACAGCAGGAGGAAGAGATATTTCCGTCATCAAGAAGCAAGGAAAGGTCAAGGCACTCGAAGAAGAAATCTTTAATCGTAAGTAGCGACATTTGCTCTTTTTTTTTTCCCTTTCACACTATCGAAGGACAACGTCATCGTATCGCCTTATTTATCGACACGTAATAGCTCTCGATGAATGCATCAAATACGTTTTCTTATAAGAATTGATTTGTTTGCAGGTACAGACGTTGATTTTGAATCTAAAACCGATAGTCATGTTGGTATTGCTCACACTCGTTGGGCCACTCATGGTGTACCATCCGAAGTTAATTCTCATCCGCAACGATCCGATTTTGAACATGGATTCGTCGTTGTTCACAATGGTAATATTTTGAATTCGTATTTTAAAAAAGATACGGGGAAGGGGAAAATTATATTTTTTTTTTTTGAATAGGTATCGTGACGAATTACAAAGAAGTCAAAACATTACTCGAGCAAAGAGGATACGCTTTCGAGAGTGAAACAGATACCGAAGTTATTGCTAAATTAATTCACCATCTTTGGATTATTCATCCAGGATATTCTTTCCGTGAACTTGTCGAACAAGTTGTACAACAAATAGTAAGTATCATCACGCGCGTAACTGTTTTTTTTTTTTTTATTATAAAATAATACATTTAATTGCGCTAAAATTCGTAATAAACAGGAATACGCGTTTATGCTATGTAAAGTCTTACTCACATATGGTTTGTCGTAGGAAGGGGCTTTTGCATTGTGTTTCAAGAGTAAACATTTCCCCGGCGAGTGCGTAGCTACGAGAAGAGGTTCACCCCTTCTAGTTGGTATCAAGACGAAAACGAGATTGGCTACCGATCATGTGCCCATTTTATATGGCAAAGGTGAGTCAACCGAGATGGTCTCTTCTTTCGTTAATAGATAAAGTTTACATATGAATGTATGTACTTGCACGAGATGAAATCGAAACGACGATACATCAGCATAAGTATCGCGCGAGTAAACTGTGTCATGAGAAATATTGGATTACCCAATAAGATAGTATTTTTTATTTTTCTTGATTATTATTCGTTATCATTTAATTACCTATGGTTATTATTCGATATTTGTTAAAAAACGAAGAACAAAGGTGAGCCGTTTGAAAAGGTGAGGTAATCTACTATACAATTATATATTTACCAGTTATTCCTTTTATTGTAATAAATCTAAATCCTAATACTCTTTATTATATGTAACACCGTAACTTACAATTAGATCGAAGATCGTCGTCGTTCATATTTGCATGTAGTACGTATAATAATTTTCTGTGGGATTTCACTTTCCTTTTAACTTTGATTCGTAACTAATTAGAAATGCTTATTTCAAACACGCGATTATTATCAACGAAAACGACGATACTAACACCGTGATTGTCTTCTAATGTATTTTACAAATAACGATTTCTATTTCTATAATATTATATTTTCTTCAATCAAATAACGTAATAATTGGTATGTGTGTTTTTTTTTTTTTTTTTAACATAAAATAAACAATGATTCTTGTTATATTTGTTAAGCTACGTTGTTGCATTATGGTATAACAAATTAACGATTTGGTCATCTTGATTATGCCAGATTTTATCACGAAAACAAATTGCACGACTACTGTATAATACTCATTATATTTATTTCTTCTTCTTCTTCTTCTTCTTCTTTTTCTTGATTTTCTTCTTTGTAATCTTATGTTGTAAATCGTCAAAATTGCACGCAGACTTCTTCTACTCGATTGAATTTTTAATGTGGATATTATACGAGTGTTTCTTTTGCATGAACATCTTCTTCCGGTTTTGTTCTACAACTTTTCATCCCAAACAGATGACCCACAACTCGCGAGCAAAGGTATATGTTCTATCCATTATAAATAACTCTGTTTTTGCTCTTTGTAAAAAGCTTTGGCTTGATTCGACATAAATACATGTATTACATACACGCATACACGTGTGCATAAGTAGATATGATGTTACACGCGTATGATGTAAGTAACATTAGGAATCCTTAAACGACAAAATATTTTTCTTTTTTATACCATGCAATATATCGAACAATTCGAAATTTTGTATCGTTATTATTTTACAGGTATTATTTCAATGTTCGTTATTACAGTTTGAGGATTCCTGACATAATTTCGAATGATTTATCTATATCATGGACACTGCCAACGCTTACATACAAATCTTTTATTTATTATTTTTTTCCTTTTTTACTTTTAGTTAATTCTTGGAATATACATGCGTTCTGTGTTACTCGATCGATGCATACTCGCCTGCTCTCTGTGTGTTCTTTTTTTCTTTTTCCCCCCTCTTATTTGTTTTCTTAATTATTATTTTTTATTTGTATGATTATTTTTTTTTTTTATAGCGATACACAATTTTGTTTGACCACCCTGTGGTATATATCACTCTCCCAAATTTGTATTTGATTTATTTAACTAATGATTTTGTTTTCTTTTTCGTTTCCCCCTCTCGACAATTTACTCCGTGCAGAAGGTGACACCTCGTCTACAGGTATATCATATTTTCATTAAAGTTTATGCTTCTGTTGTTGCTTGTTTGTTTGTTTGTTTGTTTGTTTGTTTAATTGTTCAGTTGGTTAAGGGTATCATTTCGTATTCATTGACCAAACGAACAACCCATGGGAAATGCACGAAAACAGCTATGTACTTAATTGGCCCCGCTAATAACCATGATCTCACATTCGCTCACATATTTTGGTTTCTTAATGACTATTTCATGGTTCATGGAATAATAGTGATGATTAAAAAGGATTTAAATTAGTCACGATTGGTGAGTTGTTAAAATATATGAAAAGAAGAAAAGAAAAAGGACACTGTACTTTTTATTACATATATGTATCAGCAGCATTATTACGCTTCGTTTCATCCGATAATGGTTTGTAACTAATCGGTGAAGTATAACACACTGATAATCCATATTACGTACATATAGAATGTTTAAGCATTATTTGATAAATACCTTATATAAAGCGATATTATATATCGTTAAGTTATTATGCCTGTCACGTTACGAGTCGGCCTGGTGTTGGGCTTAACGAAAGAAGAAAAGCGGCGAAACAACTAAGTAGACTAACTGGTAAATTATCATGCTCTTTCTCTGTAAATACATCAATGCATATATATATATATTTCAAATGCATATATGGAGTGAGATATTTCAAACAGGCCATTTGAATAATTCGATTGTTAATGTTAATAGGAAAATCAAAATCATTTCAATGAACAATTCATCCAGATGGTCTTTTTTAAATATCTCGTTTTGTTTACATATATATACATATATATGTAAATCTTATTGGTCACTTGTAAACGATTATTTAATACATATACTCGTATATAAATTTGATGAAATCGTTTGCACGACAATGCGATTTCCAATCGTTTAATAAACTATTATTATTTTTTATCTTATCTTCACTCTCGATAACATTTATTATTACTTTTGAGTTAAATGCAATTAAAGAGGGAAGGAGGATACGCATATGTTATAAAATGAAACAAAACGACTTGAACATAAATGAATGAATCGAATGATTTTCGTAAAATAAATCCAATTTCAAATGACTAATGTATAAATTATCAAAAATTAGATCATCGTCCTCATGGACGTAATGCCGAGCTTCCTGTTATACCAAGAAGCGACAGTACATCCGAATTTCAACCCTTGGAAGATAAAGAGGTGGAATACTTTTTTGCATCCGATGCCAGTGCTGTGATCGAACATACCAATCGTGTTATCTTCCTTGAGGTATTTCTTTTTTATCTCCCTAAATGATTTTCATTTGATGAGAAAAAGAATACAATATTTTGGAATGTTGTTTTTTTTTTTCGAAGGACGACGATGTGGCTGCTGTAAAGGAAGGAGCCCTCAGTATCCATCGATTGCGTCGTTATTTGGATGATCCTCACGCAAGGGAGATCACTACCCTTAAAATGGAAATCCAACAGATCATGAAGGGTAACTACCAATATTTTATGCAGAAGGAAATCTTCGAACAACCAGAATCCGTGGTGAATACGATGAGAGGTCGTTTGAATTTCCAAGACAACTCTGTCACCCTAGGTGGTATCAAGGTATACTTTTGTATTTTTCTTTTCCTTGCATTTATAAGATGCAATATGCAATCTAACATGCATACATTTTTTTGTAGGATTACATTCCTGAGATAAAAAGATGCAGACGATTAATGCTCATCGGTTGTGGTACGAGTTATCATTCAGCCATTGCAACGAGACAATTACTCGAAGAATTAACTGAACTTCCAGTAATGGTCGAGTTGGCGTCAGACTTTTTGGATAGAAATACTCCAGTTTTTCGCGACGACGTATGTTTCTTCATTTCGCAATCTGGCGAAACTGCCGACACTTTAATGGCACTAAGATATTGCAAAGGTCGAGGTGCTTTGATCGTTGGTATTACGAATACCGTTGGCAGTAGTATTTGTCGCGAATCGCATTGCGGTGTACACATTAACGCTGGTCCTGAAATTGGTGTAGCCAGTACCAAAGCATACACATCTCAGTTTATATCCTTGGTAATGTTTGCATTAGTTATGAGCGAGGATAGAATCTCTCTCGGTTCCAGACGTCAACAGGTATTTTTTTATTTATATCATCGTCATTTATAATATTCAAATCTTATTGCAAGATTTTTGGGAAGATTTCATTCGATGCATACTTGATACAGATCATCGAAGGATTGAAGAATTTGGACAAATTGATTCGCGAGGTATTGAAATTGGACGATGAAGTCAAGGAATTGGCAAAGTCCTTGTTCCAACATAAATCTCTTTTGATCATGGGTAGAGGATACAATTTTGCCACGTGCATGGAAGGTGCTTTGGTAAGACTAATTTCTTTATAGAATGTAGCATGTGATATACATCTAATCGAGAGCTACTTGAGATCGCATTTTTTCTTTTACAGAAAGTGAAAGAATTGACTTACATGCACAGCGAAGGTATCATGGCGGGTGAATTAAAACACGGTCCCTTGGCTTTAGTCGATGATTCCATGCCCGTAATCATGATAGTTATGAGAGATCCTGTATACGTGGTAAATTTACAATTATTTCAATCTATTTTCTTTCCGAATCTTATATAATATTAATGTCATTAATTGTTTCTTTAGAAATGTATGAACGCTCTACAACAAGTAACGGCACGCGAAGGAAAACCTATCGTTATTTGCGAGGAAGGTGACAAAGAAACAAAATCTTTCGCTTACAAGGCACTCGAAATACCAAAAACTGTTGACTGCCTTCAGGGTATTCTCACAGTTATTCCTATGCAACTATTATCTTTTCATATCGCAGTTTTGCGTGGTTGTAACGTCGATTGTCCACGCAATTTGGCAAAATCCGTTACTGTTGAGTAAAATGTTTTAAATCGACGAATCGATTATTCGACAATGAACTAAGAAGCAGATTAGGAATGATGAGAGGGAAAGAGATAAATGTCACGAGACGAAGTTGAAATTAAGAATCTTTCGAGAGTTCAGAAATAATATTTATCATCCATTGGCGATAAAAATCAAACGATCAATACGATTGTTTGTTCGTATTATTATAGTACTAGGACAGCAATACTAATTGCATATAGACGTTGTTTTTATAAGGGCAATGCGTTTTTTTTTTTTTTTCGAGATTCTTTTTCTCTCAAGGACCAACAGGGCTGTGCATTTAGTCGACACGTCGATTTCGAAAGTATATACTACTTATATACTTACATACTTTTTTTGTCATAGCGATGACGAATTAAACTAGGTATTTATAATTCATTTGAATTTCGAGTATAACAATATGATAAAAACAAAAGAAAAAAATAATATGACGATATTACTAGGTATATCTACTTTCGATTGCTACCGACGATAAGACGATATTGAGGATTTTCAATATTTTCAAATAATTACCTACCTAGAGCATTATACATTATACATCGTTGATTTGACATATGTGTTTTTAAACAAAACTGTTTATATATTCTTTTTTTTATTCATATAAAAAAAATAATTCCAATGCATTTATAGAGAAATGACGAAGAAGATGAAGACGAAGATTGTCTTTTTTCCTAGATCATAATTCTTCGTTTGGTACGACAATGTGATATTACCGATTAAAATCATCGGTTTCTTTGTATCAGATGGCGACGAACCATTTTTACACTTTGAAGATGCAAACGAATCTTCATTCTTTTGTAATTTTAAATTAACTTTCGCGCGAGTAAAATGTATATTTGACATCAAAGTTAAATTGTCTGAACGATTATAATCGATAATTAAATTATCGCGTCCATTTTTCCACTTCCTCGAATCAAAATCTGTCCCCAAACTATTCGTAATGTAACTCAACGTTCGACGAATCAAAATTCATCGTGTTTTAAATGAGAAGGCAATATATCATGAATTTTTTAATGATTATACAATATTACATAAGTCATTAAATGAAACGAGCGTAGACGTAGTATATCATTTTATACTGAAAAAAAAAAAAAAAAAAAACAAAAAAAACTATTTACGAGTATGAGACGGTAGCTATTATTGATTTAAGTCTCAACAAAAAAATAAAAGAAACATATTTATTTATCAGTATCGATGATTTTTATTATTTTAACGCTATTCGTGTTAATACGATTTTTTGACATCATTTATATTAAAATTGACGAGGTTTAAAAACAAAAATACCTATACATATATAAATATATGCACAAGCAATAACATTATATATTTAATCCTTTAGCTGCGAACAACGCTATTAGACATCCCGTGAAATTCACTTTCTCCGGGCGAGTAGCGAATGCAAAATGTTAGCACTCCGCAGTCAAAGGGTTAATCATATTTTATTTTTATTATTTATAGTACTTTGGGGAGAATTTGCATATCATACATTTTGGGTTTATAATCATTAGGTACTTTCAGATTTGATACAAGAAAATTGCATGCTACGATAAACTCAAGTGGAAGATACGTTTGCTAATGTTTTCATGAAAAAGGGACATGTAAGAGTAGATTTTTATTTGAAATGCGAGCAATATGATTGTACACAGAAAGAAAGAAAGAAAGAAAGAAAGAAAGAAAGAAAGAAAGAAAGAAAGAGAAAGAGGAATGTATAGATGATCAATAAAAGTTATTATGGTCATCAAATTAATTCGATTATCTCAACTTAATTTTAGTATCATTTAATATACATTTTTTGAACTATAAGTATAGCATCTCGTCAATTTCGCGGGAAATCGATCAAATTTGAAAAGTGGTTACCGCAGTTCCGCGTTAATAAGTAATAGTAGTAGTACATCTCGCTTTTATATCAGACACGGAAAAAATAACTTTGATTAAAAAGAAACTGCAAAAGAGTTTAAAATTATCAAAACGTTTCCTCCAAATTAACGATTATTCTTTCATTTAAATGATCGTTATCTCTCTAATTAATCTTTGACGAAGAAAAAATACATTTCATTGAAATTATTCACGCAAATATTTGGACATTAAACCAAACCATTGAAAATTCTTAGAAAGAGCTAAATAGGAATCATAAACGTTAAAGCCCGGTCAATCATATAAAATGTTTATTTTAATATGTGTTTAGAAATATAAAAACAAATTGGACACGCAATAAGTTTTTGGATAGGTACTAAAATCACCTTTACCGACGGTGCAGTAGTAGCAACCAAAGACTAGAACCCCTGGTTGGTTACTGGCGAAGGTGGTGATAAGTAGAAGTAGAGTGGGGGGAGTACTACGCGAGTCAGTCGACGATCTGCCGGCCGAGAGCGCGGATGCGTCGGAGGAGATTCTAATCGTCGTACGTACAGTGGCCCGCAGAGATTACGTTCGCCCTTTTTACACTACCCTTTGGTACTCCGGAGAGCACAACCGAGAGCAATAATAATACTGATCATCGTCATTATCATTCGTCAGCGATTTCATCGTTAATCAAATATCGCGTTAATCATCGTCGTTTGTCCGTACTCGTTTGCGTGGTTATCCTCGCCGTGCTAAACGTTGTATCGATAATTCTCATCGTTGTTGTTACCTATTGCGAGAGAGAAAGAGAAAGAAAGAAAGAAAGAGGGAGAGGTAAAGGCGCCACCCCTAAATGGGAAAAGTCAACCCCTTTGCGAAGGTTGGCAATTTCTGGTAGGAAGTAAAAAGTAATAGGTGTGCGTGCGTGTCTGTCAGCGCCACAGCAGCAGCAGCAGCAGCAGTAGCAGCAGCAGTAGCAGCAGCAACAGCAGCAGCAGCAGCAGCAGGTTCCCCTCTATCGATCGAATTTGACCTGCAAAGTTTCCCCTAGCGTCGACGGCCTCGCCGTCGTCGTCGTCGCCGTCGTCGCCGTCGCCGACGCGCCGTCGTCGTCGTCGTCGTCGTCGTTGCCAACGTTGCCATAGTCGGTCGCGTGTGTGCGGTTAGTGTGACACAGAGCAGTGCTGGCTATCGAACGCTTGGATCCACCGGCAACACGCACGTACGCACGCACACACACCTACCTATATAGAGGATTAACGCGTTCGGCATGGCTGCCCCAGCCGCCTGCACGCGGTTTAGTGACAACTATGATCTCAAGGAGGAACTTGGCAAGTAAGTTCAATTAAAAGTAATCTTTTCTTTAATAATAATGAATCCACCCTTCGAACTATTACCTTATCCTCCTACCAAACGAACAAACAGAGATACCCTAAAAAAGAACATAAACAAATATTTTTTTTTTAAAATAATTTTTTTAATTAACAAGTTTTTTCATTGATTGGCATCGTGCCTATTTGTCGACGACGAGGACGACGACGGCGACGACGACGACGGTGACGACGACGACGGTGACGACGACGACGACGACGACGACGCGTCGGCCATGACCGTTCTCCGTCGGTTCCCATGTATTTGTAGGTATGCGTGCATGCGTGCGTGCATGTAAGTACGTCTCTTCCTCGCCGCAGTCGTCCCTTCCCATCTAACCTCTTTCCCCCCTCTTTCCCACCTTCACCACCCATCGGAGAGCAGCAGGTTCCTCTCTCTTTCTCTCTCTCTCTTTCTCTGTCTATATTTAAGCGTCAAAGCTCCTGTAGGCGCTCCAACGCTATATATAAAGCATTCAGGGCGCCTGCTACTAACGATACCGTTTTACCGACACATCTCGTGTCCACCTCTTGACTATTTACTTACTAACTTACTAACTTACAGCCGCCGCCGATGCGAAAACCCATTTGTTCAACGATCTCTCCGGGAATCGATACTTTTCACCATTCTAATCAATATGAGTTCATGTTTTCTAGGAAATTCAATTGAATGTTGAACTAATCTACATATTTAGATTATTAAGTACAATTAGATTTCCTATTTGGATATAGCAAAAGAGTTTTCATTCTCTTTCATTGTTTTTCCGCTTTTACTAGCCCCCTGTGATCTCGGTCGCGTCAGGGTTGCGCGCAGCCTTCGTGTGTGCGCTAGAGCATAACGTTCTTTCTTCCCTTGCTCGCCCTTCACACCTTTTTTCCGTTTAATTTACCCTTACACTTTTTTTTTTCTTCTTCCTCCCCTTTATACCCAGTTGGTTGGTTGTGTGATACGTGCGTTGTTTTATTATCGACGATATGGAAAAGTCGCGGCAAGCAACCTGCTGACTCTCCGCTTACACATACGTTATCCTCGATAATTCAAGCAACGTTCGACATTTTGCTTTTGCTAAAAAGGTAACTCCTCGTTCGTCCTTCGTTGCGATCGGTTTTTATCTTTCGCTCGTTCATGCGAACATTTCTCAATTCATCAATATAATATCGTTAGACGAATAATCCAAGATAGGAAGTTAAAACTATCGATTAGACCGAGTTTTCTTTCGATTTAACAGAGTTAGACTTCATTCAACGCGATCTCTCATATCACTTTTTCCTTTAGAACCCTTCATACTATTGAACCCTTCTTCAATATGATTGCAAGTTAGGAATCTAACGGCTTGCGACCAAACCAATTCGAATGTTGGTTTTGGCAACGTTTGGGGCTGGCATTAAGACCGGGGATAAATATTGGCTCTATCGAGAACCACTAGGGAAATACGGAATTCCCATTAGGAAGTTGCGCTTCCTCGAGTAAAACCTTCTTTTACGATCGATCGACCGACCAAATCTTCTTTCTTTTCTTTCCCTCATCTATTTTTTTCTTTTTCTTTTTCTTTTTATCTTTCCTACGATACGAAATAAAAGCTGATTTTGAGTAATATACGACTAAGAAAAATTTAGCAATATATTATTCATTTAGAAATGCGATCACTGCTCTCAGGGGTCCATTTTCCAAGAAAACGACCTAACATACACACACACATTCTTATAAATATACATGAAGGAAAAGTCGCCATTTTTGTGGGCAGATCCTTTCGGATCGGGTGACACCGACAATATGGCGCGTAGTAATGCTACACAACACTACGACGAGCTTGAACGAGTTTATTACGGATTTAGCTTTTTTCTTTCTCTCTTTCTTCCTTTCTTCCTTTCTTCCTTTCTTTCTTTCTATTTCTCATTGTCAGTCGTATAATGTAAGACAATCGGGTTTTACGACGGGGAAAAAATAAAACCGACACCGTCGTAAGGTCTCGAAACTAAAAATACAAATAGGCGGACGGATGAACGTTAATTAAAAAGAAAATACTAGTCAGGGATAATAGGGGTTGGAAGAAAAATAAAAGGGAAATGAAGAACTCGCTAGAGAAGTTCGAGAATTGTGCGTATTATTTTTTGTTGAAATGAACAATTTTCTAATTTTGTTGTTGTTTTTCTGAGCTAGTAGTCATCGCTGCTACTTTGAGTGGCAATTAAGTTTCCAAAGTAGACGCGAGTTAACGCGTTTTCCCTTAGGAAACGGGCTTGGTTGGTTGGTTGGTTGGTTGCTTGCTTGCTTGCTATCCTTACATCTTCCTTTTCCCTCGTGAAAGATATATACGCGAATTACCAGAGTAAAACGCTAAAGAGAAGAGCACGAGCTTCTGAGATGAGAAAAGGCCGCTTTTAGGGATCGTAAACGGCGACTATTGTAGTGTAAGGGTATTTCTCTCTTCCAAGCTTTTACGGTTCTAAAGGGTCTAAAGGATCTTACGTAAATAACTACATTTATTTTTTATTTCTTTTTATTTGTTTGTTTGTTTGTTTGTTTTTTTTTTTTTTTTTTTTTTTTTTATTGAATATCGTGGTTGCATTAGATACGATTAAAGGTATTATAAAAATACTTGAGGCTACGTAAGGATGTATAGATGTGTGTACTAGGTAAACGTGCGAGAAAGCATCGATCATGTAAGGAGTTTAGCACAAAGCCAAACGTTCGACTTGTTAACTTACAACAACGGAGAATTGTGTCAAATCGCATAGCATGGTTCGCTGACTCGTCAATGTGTTGTGTAGCTATAGTAGCACGTGTTGCGAACATTCCGTGATGTACGTAAATGATCGAACGCCATTCCTTTTCGATTCATGTTATATACATAGTCTACATAATACCTTTATGTACAACCGAACAAAAAACAAATACTACCATTCTTTTTCTATTATCTTTGCTAACGACATGTTTTTTCATTTTTTACATCATAAGAAACTTTATTCAACGACCTCGTTACGTCGCTATTTTTTTTTTCCATCTCTCATTGTTTTTGCTCGTTACGAAGGATATTAGAAGTAATAGGGTGTCTTTGAAATCGATACAACGAATGAATGAAGGAAAATGAAGGAAAATGAAGGAAAATGAAGGAAATTCGGTTTGCGTTCCTAGTTTGGTCCGATTAGATCCTTTTGTCCTAGTTCGAGCGCAGGAATGGATATCGATTCGCAGGTGTACACTTTGCATTTTTTTTTCTTTCCAATTAATATTAAATTATACGAGGGAGGAATCTCGTTAAGACGAGGGTGAACGCTTTCCAATGCACTCGAGATGCACTTTTAGTTTTCTAAGCGGTTATCTTTTTTCCCCCTTTTGCTACCGAATCTCCACGTAACTCGATCGCTTTGATTATTTCCTTTTTTTATCTCTCGGAAAAATAGTGGACTACTGGTTCTATTTTTCGATTTGCAATTTTATCGAAACAACGAGATGTATGTAATTTGTAATAAAGTTTTTTCATGGTTCACTTGATGAAAAAGGAAGAGTGATTTTTGATGTAAAATAAAGTCTCATTAAGGATATTCATTGAAAGTTGTGTTAGGTGTGTTTGCATATAAAACAAATTGACTTATAAGTACGTTTCGAGGAAGAATTAGAAAGTTTGAGAAAGATAGAAAACCGATGGGAATATTAAAAATAGATCTCGTCCTTCGAATGATTTACTACCATACCCTGTTTGCTCTTCGACAATGCTCAATAAATATTAGATCTTGCAAAGTAAAAGTGGCAAAGGAGGAATCCTGATTGGTTTTATCGCGAGAGGATATAATAAATTTGTAAGAGGAAGTTCTGTATAGTTCTGTATCAATTGAGAGATAAAAAAAAGGTTGGGTTTGTTGAAGTTAAGTTTAGTAGTGGGCACGTGGTGGTTGGTTCTATAACTATATCTTTTGGGTTTGCTCGGTTCGGTTGGACTCGGTGGATCTCGGAGAGATTCGAGACGAGAGGGCAAGCCACCTGTCCTGTAACGTCCTCCCTGGGGACATTCCCGAGGCAACCTCGATCGATAAGCCGGCACCCTTCTTCTCCTCATTTATGTAACTACTTATATACCTCGGCTAGTATATAAGTAAGTAAAAATATATAGCTTTGCGTATAGTTGGCTTACATAAACTTTTACATACTTTTGTCGAAGCTTTAGCTCCTATTAACATTATCATCGATTCCTCCGAAGGCTTCTAGAAGCGACGAGAGCGTGTTTAACGGCAAACGGCTATTGCCTTTCAAAGGGACGACTTATTTTTTAACGCGTTGCGTTTCGTTACGTTACGTTACACCTACCAAACGATAGATATTCATTCGCCATGACAGAAATGGTTAAACGTATTGTACAATTTTTTCCACTAGTTCACGAGAGATATTCGAGATGCATCCGTTGAACGCGAATTTGTCGATCTTTTGAAAAACGATACGCCTCTCGTTCGGTAATTTCATTTATTTACGTATGTCCGATGTGATTACGTTTTTAGTATAAATATATATATGCTAACCTGCGTCCTTTGAAGCTGCCACGAACTTTGCAATATTATTTTTCAATTCATCTTGCAACTTTTATTTTCCAGATCGTCGACGCATTCATTCAGAAATATTTACTTTAGTCGATTTATAAATATTATTAACACCGCTATAATGCATTTGTAAGCTAATGCAATATTTTTGATTTGACAATAACGCGTAATCAGCGCTGAATGCAATTTGCTTTAATTCGTGTGGAAAAGCGCAACTGCAACACAACACCTAGTATTATCGTTGTTTTTTCTTTTCTATACAAAGTTACTACACAACACAATTCGTACTAACGCGTGTAATATACACGAATTTGTACCTCTTGTGTATTTTTTCTCTCTCTCTCTCTCTCTCTCTCTCTCTCGCAAAGGTAATATCACGTTTCGTGGCTAATATTTTTCTATGCGTTGATAAAAACTCGAGTCAGAAAGATA